TGCATCTCAACAGGAAGTGGGTGGGTGCTTAAGCCTATAATGAGGCATTCCTGCCTGTGGTTGCTGCCTGGTAGTGAAGACTCTGCATGCAACAGTAAATTCATCTTTCTTTAAACATTTCAATAGCCGAACTCAATTATTGTAAGCTTGAGTGCCCACCCTCTTTGACTTAAACTGGGAGGGAGGGAGGAATATTTTAGTTTAAATTCCTATAGCCATTTGTGATCTCCCCCCCCCCATTAAATGAAATATCTACTAAAATCTACCAAAAGAAAAACCAGGCTTATAAAACAAACTCCATTTCTTACCTACCCCTGCCCAAAATGCTGTTGTCTGTAGAATAGGGAGAATGCAGAAGTCCTAATTGCCACACTTAGAAAAAACCCCACATTCACCCATCCCCTGCCATTGCTAATCAGCATTTTTGGACTGCATTTCAAAGGGGAAATGCTACCGGAGGCTTAGCTCCGGTGGTGATTGTTGCTGTAGCTCTAAGTTCCTTGCTGTTTAGGCAGTTTCGCTGTTGAAATCTGCAGGTATCTTCAGGGATGACCTGACCTTGGTTCAAGTAAGCTTTATTTTCTTTGGTAAATGGCTTAGAGAAAGGCACCCTTGCAAGAATGATCAGGTACCTATCCTTTTCCCTGACAATAATAAGAATTCGGAGTTTGGGCTGAAGATAGCATCCCCCATCTCTCCTCTCCTGACTGTTTTTAGGGTCTTGGAACAGGGCAGAACTTGCCTGGGAATCAATCAGCCAACCAAAGCTGCCTTGACACCTCACCTGAACAAAGCCAGAGACCTTGAATTCTGGGATTGTCTTCCATGAGGTGACTTAGGGCTTAGGCACAGTGTCAAGCCTGAACATTGTAAGACTTCAGGGGTATATCAGGCATCTCCGTATGTGTACAAACACGGGACAGGCTCCAGTGCCCTGTCATGACCCAGAGGGCTCTGGAGCTAGTTCAGATGAAGACTGGGAAGGCCAGGATGTCTTTGGTTTCCAACATTTCCCTTCAGTGTACATAGGCAGAAGATAGCCAAGGAATGGGAAAGGTGGAAAGAGTATTTGTGTCTGTAATGGGGACTGTAGAACTGGTCAAAAAGTCAGAATTTCCTTGGGGAAATCCTTTTAGGCTTCAGCTCAGCCTGAGAGATGGGTTAAAAAGCAACAGCAAACAACTCTGGGCCTTTCCTAGGACAACCCTTGTACCTTTTTGGGCCCCCTGAAGGTGCTGGCATCAGGTAAAATGAGGCCTAGGGAAAGGACTTAGCCACCTTCAGCCTGGTTTAAAGTGTAGATTGACCATGTCAGAAGGTGATAGCTTGGGTACACAGAAGAAAATCAAAGTTCTTAAATTTGAATTCATCCAGCATTTATTAAATTCATATTATCTATGAGGCCTTGGGAATACAAGATGAGAGAGAGTTACTGCCCTCAAAAAGTTCACAGTTAAATAAAAGAATGAGACATGCCTACAAATAACTGCAATTCAAAATAGAAAACTGTTAAGTGCCTGCGAGGGCAAACCCAATGGCTTAATTGATTCAAGGACAGGAGATAGGGATTCTAGCTGGTGAGGTCCGGAAGAGGTAGCACCTGATGACACCTGGATGAAGGAGAAAGATGTCCATAGGCAGAGGTGGAGGGGGGAGTGTAGTCCAGACACATGCAAAGGAGTATGGTAGAAGAAAGTTAAAAAGGGAGGGTGAAGATGAACCCTGGAGGGCGTTGAATGCCAGAGTTCATATTGAACCCAGTTTATATCCCATTGCCTCATGGGGAGGCACAGTAGGGTAGTAGGAGGTTTGGAGTCCTGTTCAGAAGTGGTGCTTTGGCAGCAGCTGTGTGAAGAGAGGAGTCAGCTGAGGCAAGGAGCCGGGGGCAAGTCTCCGAAGGACCTTGGAGTGGGGACCACTCCAGTAGCTTCACCTGCTTTTCCTGATTGACCAAGTTGTTCATGTCTGTTCCAGTTCCCTTCTATTTATTGTCTTTGTAAATATTTTGTATTTCCTTATGTGTTGTTTCTTCCTAGAGGATATGAGGTCTTTGAGGGCAAAGCCTGGTTTGGTTTGTCTTTAGATCCCCAACACTTTGAATAGTACGTGGCACATACAGAGCAGGTGATGAATTAATGCTCATTGATTGTTGATGAATAAGGAAATGGATGTCTAGGAGAGGTCCATAGCTTGGCCAGGCCCTTATGGATGATGTTGTCTTACCTCCTTTTCAGCTCTCACATTCTGTGACTCCACCTGGGCTTCCAGGATCCCAGTACAGTATTCTTGCAGTTACATCAGATAGCAAAGATTCCAAAGCTGCTCTGCACCAAGTTTAATTATGTTTACCTATGGCATAGTCCAGATCCTATAAACTTTATCTGAACATTAGAATACGTGGCCTGGATTTTTGTTGTTATAGTTGCTATTCAGTACATACATGGGCCACTTGTTCTGATCCAGGAGGGGTTACCGTGTGGATAATATCAAATAGCAGATAAAACAGTAGTCATTACTGTTTGGCTTTGGGAATGCATAGCATGATTTTTATTTTGTAGCAGGGAATCTTCCTTAGAGAAGTATTTGTTTTGCTTAAGTGAAAATTGAAATATTTGAATTCCCCATGCACATGCCTCATACCAACCAATTGTCAAGAAGACTGATTTTTGTGGGGAGTGGGTTAAAAATTGGTTATGGGCAGGCTTACGGTCCAGTTTATAATAATTCCACACCCAGGAGCCCAGGTCTCCCTGAATAAACAAATACTCATGCAGGCAGTTTACCATATTTGAGTGTCTGTACCTTGGGTAGGTAGAATAACAGACCAAAGTACAGTGTTTGTGCCACAGTGCCTGGTGCTTCAAAGTTGCTGCCCATCAGACATTTGCCCAGACAGTCTGCAATCCACAGTTCCTAATCAGGTATCCAGAGGGAAAGTCTGGAATGAATGTGGTGCCAGTGGCCATCTTTACCACATTCCCAGAATTTCCAGGCTGTCTGGGCCATTGGGAGAGGCCAGGACAGCTTCTCAAGTGACACACTGGTGTGGCTTCCAGTGGTGACTGAGTTATCCTGGCCCACCCTTGCATTTCTGGTTCTACTGGAAAAGTCAGAAGGTTGAGGGCATGGGAACCCCCAGATAGCAGTATATGGGACCCAAGGAGGCTCTTATTTGTATCCCCCTTCTCTTCTTTTTTCCCCCCTCTTCTACCAGTAATAGTAGATGACATTGAGATAGTGCTTTATGATTTATACATGTTCTCATTGGATTCCCACAGCCCTGTTCCCGTTTTCAGTTCTCACCTCACTATTTAGTTATGGAAACCCAGAAAGCTGGTGACCCTCACTGAGAGCTCATGTTTCATGTTCCCTGAGTCACAGTGGTTCAAGGAAGTGAAGGAATGGAAGAGATCAACTAAAGGGAGAAGCCTGGGATTCCAGTAAGAAAGGGCCTTAGTTTGGAGAGGAACTTAACAGAGGAGCAGAATGGAAATTATTTACTTACATAGTAGAACAGCATTCAGGAAACACCTCTGCACCCCAAAGATAGGCCCAGCTGCCATGAAATGACTATTAAAGGGAGGTTCAAAGTTATGAGCAAGCAGCTGAATCTCTTGGTTCTTGAGCTGTTGCTGTTGGTGACAGGAAATCTTGTTCCCCAAGCTGTTGGCTTCCTGTTTTATTTTTACTCAGAGCAGATCAGAATGTCCATAACAAGGAGCAGTCTGTTCCAAAGGGTACTGCTCCCCCTTTGAGCCTGAAGGGCTTCATTTTACTTTTTCTGAGTCGGTATCTTGGTTAGCTTTTTAGATCTATGATGATCAATTTGGTTTAAACATTTTGTAGCTGGGGCCAGTCTTTTGGTGATTGAATTAGTGTTCCAGCTCTGTTTTAAGGCTTTTTGTGTACTGTGCCTTTGCCTTTTACAGGAATCCTAGCAGTGGAAACTTGGATAAGCTGCTGTGTGCCCTGACTTATCACCATTTTTCTAATACAAAGGCCATTAGACAGTGTTAGATTTCGTCAGTTTTATAGAATGTGAGAATAGGACCTGGCCGTTGTAATTTGACTGTAAGTCAAATCCTTTTGGTTCAGAATAAAGCTCTTTCCCTTGGTCGATGAAGTCTAAAACAATGGTTCTGGGGGGAGGAGGGGATTTCCTAGGGAAAGGAGCTCATCCAACAGGATAAGAAACAGTCACTGGAAGGTTTCCGTGTTGGCTGGAGATGCTTCCTGCTGTCTCAAGAGCCTTGCTGCCCAGGTGTATTGTGCCTAGACTGGAGGGAGGAAAAGAGATATTAGGGTAGAAGGGGGGGCAGGGTTGGGAATCTCACAGCACATTTTGCACAGCGTTGTGTTTGGCATATTGAACAGGCGAATTTTCTTTGACGTTCTTTCATTCTGTCAATTTACAGACTAAACTTTAGTGGTGTTAGTAGATTCTGGCAGCAAGTACTTAGTTGCACATTTAACAGTCACCCATCAAGGAAGAACTAGAAAGGTTATGTCCTGACGTGTATCAGTGGAAGGGAAAAATCACTATTGGCAGCTTGATTTCATCATGGAGATACAGATGACAGAAGCCCTTTTTTGATCCTCTACGGTTGGTGGCCTGGAATCTAATCTGTCCTAGTTACCATCCCTGAAAGGATGGTGTCTGTGCCATCCAGTGCCTGCTGAATGGGCTTTTCTCTAATGCTAACCCACCCCCTTTGCCTGCTGAGACAATATTTGGCCAGGGAAATTCTTGCTTCTCAAAAGGTGGGTAGGTTTCCAGTGCTGCCGGTATATACCAACAAGCCCCATGTAACAGCTAAATCTTACTCTCCCCCCTCTCCATCCCCCTAATAGAAAAGGAGTCTGCTTTTTAAAAGATGGGTCAGGGAAGGGAGGGATTCTATAAGCTGTTTCAGATCAGAGCAAAGGGAAAAAATATCACACAGCCCTAGTGTGCCTGGAATTTGTGGTTGAGTAATACTTTCCTGTTATTTCTTTTTTAGGTTGTTTTTCATCATTCAGAACATTGCCTGAAGCAGGTCCACCATGCCGTTAGTAACGAGGAACATCGAGCCAAGGCACCTGTGCCGTCAGACGTTGCCTAGCGTTACAAGCGAGCTGGAATGCAAGACCAACATCACCCTGGCAAATGTCATTCGACAGCTGGGCAGCCTGAGTGAGTACCGCAGAGAGCCTGTGCTCTGCCCTCAGGGGTCGTTGGTGCTCTTTATTTAGTTCCCTTTTCCTCCCATGTTCCTATTTCTCCCCCATCTGCTTTCCCTAGGTAATGCAAAAATATATTTATTTATTTTCCCCCCAAAAGAGAGTTCCTTTTGAGTACAGATTTCTTCCCTTCAGTCCTCTCCTCACTGCCACCCCCTTCCCTTCTCTTTTCCTGCCTCCCCCCACCCCCCACCCCTCATCACCCCACCTGCTTCAGAAGACATCCGTGGGCAGGGTGGTAGGAAGGGCTGCAGCAGGATTGCAGATGGAATGACAGAGCAGAATTCGGTGTTGAAAGTGGGAGGTTCACAGAGTGGCATCTTGGGTCGAAGAGTGTGCCTGGGATTGCGAGAGCTGTTTGATGGAGCCTGACTCTATTGAAGGCTCAGACATTCCCATCATCCTCATCTCTTTGTTTCCCTTCCTCTCCCTTTCACGGAGGTAGAAAGTCAGCTTGTGTACTGGCTTGTGCGATCTCTGTCTCTGTCTCTCTCTCTCTCCCCCTCTCCCTCCCTCTTTCTCTCCTTTCTCTCCTCTTTTCATCCTTCTCCTGTCCCTCTCTTACACACACAGATGTGGCCTATCTTGGCCACCCTGTGTCACAGGCCCTAAGGTCTAAAAGTTCAGGGTACAAATCACTTCTGCAGTCTGTGGGGAGTTTTAAGAGTTTTGCAAGCTGTATGTGGTATTGCAAATTGTAACTACAGCTAGTCCTCTGTCTGATCTGAGGCTGAGGGAAAAACACCTTGATAGTCACTTTTATTTCATTTTCTTAATTGACAGAAATGAATGAATCTTGCCCTGGGTGGGGTGCATGCATGCACACATGTGATTCAGATTTCATTCTAAATCGACTTTGTTTGCTTGATGCCATGATCTGGGAGTGGCAAGTGTTTTGATAGGCTTTGCAGTTGTCTGGTGCCACTACTGCTCCCATGAATACCTCAGCTGAAATGCCATTTTGGTGATCTCCCTTAGCAAACATATCTTCATGAATCATTGCAAATACCCCTCCTACTGCATCAGGGCCATGGGTGAAGGGACTGGAATATCACTAAAGCCTATGTTCCCCCAGATAGTAATAGGTCCTGCCTTTAGAATAGCCAGCTGCAGAGACCCAGCTCTGTGGTCAGGTGATCTATGAGCTCTGAGATTCCTAAGCTGTCATTTCGCCCAAGGGTGATTTCAGTTGATGGAGGACTTAGGAAACTATGGGTGGGGCCTAGGAAAGATACAAAACCTTGACTCCCTGCTTTACACAAGGGAACATTGCCAGGAAGTACATGATGCTTGTTAAGAGGAGCATGCTCCAAAGCGGCAGAGAGCTTTACCTGGTCTTAAAGGCATCAGTTCTGCCTTGATAGCCCTGAGAAGGCTGAATAAACACTGGACTCCTGGCCTTGACCCTGGTCACACTCTGGCTCCGCTGTTGTGTCCTGCTGTCTGCTGATGAACTTGCTCCGTGCAGGTTACCCTGGTGAGCAGTGGGATGTGTGACTCTCACTTGGAATAATAGAATATCATACCTTGAAAGAACCTTTGAGACCATCTGGTCCAATCTCCACATTTGCGGAGGACAACATAGAGCCCTTGAGAGGTTGTGACTCCTCCCAAGTCATCTAGTGTATAAGAGGTAAAACTGGCCCACAAATACTGGCCTCCTGCTCCTTTCACTGCACTAGGTTGCTCCCCTGAAAGCAAATACCACATGTGCTTTGCATTTGTTTTCCCATTGGTGTGGGGATGGCTGGGTTACACGGAGCCATCCATACTTGCTCGCCCCCTCCCCCTTGTGACCAACAGTATGCATTTATGAGGCTTGGCCAGGCGAAGGATGGAGTCTTGGACCTGAGTAGTGTTTTTCTTCCCTGTGAAGCTAAATGGCCTACACAAGAATCAAATCCATGAGTTTGGCCTTAGTAAGCACTGTACTCTAATGAGAGCTGCTGCATCTGATAGAGAAATTTTAATTGGGTTAACTGTTAAAGAACAGGACTCCAAATTCCATAATCTAGCTTCTGTAGCTGACCCACAGGACCTATTATGATCAACAGTCTTTATAGTTGGTTTGCACTATTTTGAATAATTATTGTAGTTGTGGCTACTTTGTTAACACATCTTTGTTAGCTTATTGGCCAGTTAGGACCCAGGACAAATCCTGCTAAAATTGTACTTGTGGCAAAACCCAGTACCCTTTAGGACGTATTGTAGGAGACTGTCAACTGTAGGAGATTCAGATCCGATGTTTGGTATATGGCCTGATTGAACCATCTATCCTGATGGCTGAATGCGTGAATGAATTGCTCATTTTTGTGTGGCTTTTGGTTTTCTCTTCATTTACCAAATATCAGCATTTTGTTTTTGAAGGTTGGTCCTTGAAGGACAAGAGGGCTAAATTAATGGTTGGAATTACATTTGAAAACTCTCACAAGCCTTAGGTCTTTAATATTTTGCTTTCCTCCCAGACATGCCAATATTGTGTGACCTAAGGATTCTGATTGTGATTCTCTGCCAGGCTTTACTTTCTGTATCAGTCTTAGCTGTAAATGCTATAATAATGTAGTAGTATTCTCTTCCTCCTCTACCATCTTCCCAAACCCCAGCCACTTTTTCCTTTTTGAGAGCAGGAAGATCCTAGCTATTCTAACCAGATTGGCTCAAGAAGTCAGTGAGTAAGCATTTATTAAGCACCTACCATTACACTGCTAAACACTAGGGATACAAATAAAGGTCAAAAAGAGTCCCCCTCTCCAAGAGCACACAGTCTAATAGCTTACAAACAAGCTAGGGACAGGATAAGTTGGAGATCATCGGGAGAGGAAAAGCACTGGCATTAAGAGTAATCAGGAATGGCTTCTTGGAGAAGGACCTATTTTAGCTGGGACTTGAAGGAAACTGGGGAGGCCAGGGTATGGAAGTGAGGAGAGGGAGAATTCCAGGCACAGAGGGGCCAGTGAAAATGCCCGGAGTCGGGTGATAGGGATGTTTTGTGCTAGGAACAGCAGAGAGAAGTGTGTCACTGGGTCATTGAGTTCATGGGGCAAGGAGAAGGGGGTGGTTCTGAAGGACTTTGAATGCCGAAGGATTTTATGTCTGATCCTGGAGGTGATGGGGTAGCTATCTGAAACTTACTGAATGAGTCAGGCCTGTTTGACCTCTGCGTAGTAGGTGAACTGTAGTGGGAAAAGCCTTGAAGCAGGGAGACCCAGCTGCAGGCTATTGCCATAGTCCAGTCAGGAGGCAGTGAGCTCAGCTGGTTAGCGTACAGGCTTTTGGATCCCAGGGGTTAACATTGGAGGGGTTTGGGGGTTTTGTTCTTGTTCAAATTTTTTTTTTTTGTGAGGGCAGAGTTTGGACAGTTGTGTGGGTAACAGCTATGGTCATGAACTGTTTTCCATATAGTTGCTCATTTCTGTGCTTTAGCCTTCTAATTACAATTTTCCATTACCTGAAGGGGCTCATACAATGTGGGTTTTATGGAACTTAGCCATTTTATAGACAGGGATCAGGCACAGTTTGCTTTGCAGAAATGCAGAGCATTAGCCTGATTTGAGATCTTTGAGCCTGGCAGTTTACCATGGTTGTTTAGACTCCCCAGATCATTCAGTGTGCAAGAACTTGTTCTGTCCCTGATTAGAAACCCCCCATTGAATTGAGTAACCCCCCATTAAATTGAATACCCCAGCAGTTCTGAACTTGTGGTTGATTAGTCTTCTTACCCTTTAGGTTATATAGGCAAAGTGAGCTACATTTCACCCTAAAGATGCAGTTTAGCTCCTTTTTAACTAATTTTTCTGCTAGACTTTGAACTTGTGTAGAGTAATATTTAAAAGCTAAGAATTGGAGCTTGTTCTTTGGACAGTCGTCAAAGTAATTATCAGTATTCATTTGTTTCTGGTCACTTTTATTCCTGCCTTACTCTTGGATGTAGCTTGCATGATATACTTGAAAGACATTCACCACTTTGCCTCCTTGACTTCTCATTTCTAATAAGCGGTGTGTGTGTGTGTCTGTCTGTGTCATATAGAGACAGAGAGACTTGGAGTGACAGGGGGGAGAGAGGCAGCATTAAATTGCCATTTTGTTTCTCTGGTTGGTGGCTCTTCTTAGGTCCAAGCTTTAAAGGAAGGAAGCCTATTTCTTTTTTAAGGGGGAGAAAAAAAAAGACAAGAGATCAATCACTAGTGTGTTGTTTTTCAAGAAACATACCAACTTTTCTTCTTTTCCTTGGGATGCAGATTTGAAGAAAGGCATACTAAATTATAAAACCCAAATTTCACCTATTAGAGGAAATTGTACTTTGGATTGTATTGGTATATAGAAAATCTTTCAAAGACGCCACAACTTGGCCCTGTATGATGTACTTTTGAGGGTTTTTTGAGCAAATGACCTCCAGTTTTGCATGCTAGTTATAAGCACCAAGAAGATGACCACTAGTAACTGTCTCCCCCAGACTTTTCTCTTTCAGTAGCAGCAGCAAGATGGTAAGAGTTCAGTAGAATGTGCAGGCATGCAGTTGGCTCTCAGACCTTTCAGTGTCTACTCTTTCTATTCTCTTAATTCTTTGGAGTTTATTCAGTTTGCTTTGAGTTTCATGACTTGCTCAGAGATTGCTCAGAAGGCTCCATTAGTTTTAGAACATCTGCTTGCTGCCCACTCGGTGGGGGTGATCTCAGTCTACACTGGCTAGCCTTCCTAAGCAGTGGCAGGCAGAATTGTGATAGATAGGTACGTGGAGAATGACTTGTTCATTTGTAACCTGATTCCTCTGCTGTTTCCAGGTAAATTTGCAGAGGACATTTTTGGAGAGCTCTTTACTCAGGCAAATACCTTTGCCTTCCGGGTGAGTTCTCTAGCTGAGAGGGTTGACCGCCTACAAGTTAAAGTCACTCAGCTGGATCCCAAGGAGGAAGAAGGTAAGGAAGCTGAGCTCAGCACTTGCATGCCCAGCTGAGGAATGCCATTCCAAGCTTTTTTCTTTTTCTGATTTCTAGAAAGGTGGAGGGAAAAGAAAGTTCCAAAAATCTGCGGCATTTTACTTTAAAATGACACTGGCCAGGCACGGGTGCCGAGACCTCTTTAGTTCAGCAAATTCCACCCTCCAGCCCCAGCCCCATACTCTTCTCCCCATGATCCACTTCTCTAAAGAGACTTTGCAGGTTCTGATAGAGTGACTTGAGGAAGATGCTGCTGGAACCAGCCATGTTGCAGACCTCTAGGTTGTCTCGTTTTGTTCAGTTGTGAAATGGCCGGCCTGCAGACAGCTTTGTGGGGCTTCCCAAGAGGGCCAGGGAAGAAGAACCTGGCTCTAATCAGCTGCTGCAGAGCAATGGAACAGCTTGGGCTTCAGTGACTGGCGTGACTCAGTCAGTGTTTGCTTCACTGCAGTTCTTCCATTTTCTAATGGCTTCCTCCCATTTTCTCCCAGTGTCACTGCAAGGGATTAACTCACGAAAGGCCTTCAAAAGCTCCACCACTCAAGACCAGAAGCTTTTCGACAGGGCCTCGCTCCCGGTGCCTGTCCTGGAAACGTATAACACTTGTAATGCTCCTCCACCCCTCAACAATCTGTCCTCGTACAGGTAACAGCTCCCTAATCAGTAGCCTTGTGGAAGCTGAAAGTTAGCCACGGAGAAAGTCTCCTGGACTAGATTAGCTGTAAAGAACAAAAGATTGCTCGCCACTGGAGAGGAACCAGAGGCAGCTAGAACTGAAGCTGACTATATAAGCAGAATTACTCATTTTTGTAGTTTCACTTTAAAAATCTCTAATAATAATAATAATAATAATAACTTGGACTTATATAGCACTTTACAGCATCTAATGCTTTGTTGAAACAGCTTGGAGTAGTGGGTGGAAAGTTGGCTTTGTGACCTTGGGCAAGTCGCTTAACCTTTACTAACGTTCTAGAGGTATGAGCTACAGAGCTGGTACCAGCCTGCAAGGAGCCTCCACACCAGGGAATTCCTCAGATCAGTGAGATCACAGGGCCAGTCCCTGTCCCTAACCCTTTATAGTTTATCTATATCACAGCCTTGGGAGATATGATTCTTACTCCATTTTATGACTTAGGAAATTGGGACTTGAAGAGGTAAAGCTGACTTGTCCATGATTACACAGCTAATAATAAGGGTCAGATCTAGGATTCAAACCCAGGTTACCTCTGCACCTTTCCCTGGCTTCCTTTTTCTAGGTTTATGTGCTGAAATCATGTTCTAATCCTCCTCTAAGTAAGTAGATTCATGGATAAATAAGACTGAGCTGTCTTGGGCCACACCCAAAGAAAGTCCTCTTTTTCCTCCTCCTCCTCCTCCTCTTTCTCCTCTTTCTCCTTCCTCTTTTCCTTCTCACCCTTTATGTTGCACTTTGGGGTTTGAAATTCCCTTTTATCATAACAACCCTGTGGGAATGGTTAGCTGCTTATTGGGTCCTACTATAGGAATTGACTGCTGGCTTCTCTGAGAGGTGCCTGCTAGAATCTAGAACACATGTGGCCAGATTGGTTTCCCCTCTAAGTATGTCTGTTCTTAGGGGTGGGACTTGAAATGGAAGACAGCTCTATAGTCAGCACAAAGCTCTTTTCCTTCCATCGTCTCACAGCGTTGGCATCTTGCAGGAAGGCACCGAAGCAGGAGAAGAATAGGAATATTTATCTTGCCCACATCCATAAATATCTTTTGAACAGGTAAAAAGTAATTACAGATAGCTGGAGGCAGATGTCTTCTGTGAGACATGGATGTACTGCAAAGCAGCAGTGTGTGTATGTACTTGTAAAACTCAAGGACACCGGCCTGATTTAGGGAGCTTGGAGTTAGGGACATTATAGTTTCTCAAACAGTAAAGGATTACTTCAGGTTATCATGTGCCACTCTCAGTTTAGTCCCGAAGCTCCCATTAGACAGTTGATTGGATTTGGGAGGGAGATGGGCTACCTAGTTTTTGATGCCACAGCATACTGTTGGAGGGTTTAGGCAAAGGAGGAGCTCCAGAGAGCTTTTTAAAATGGGATTTTATTTTTCAATATACACAGCTCTATGTAGTTTTAGCCAACTCTTCATTCTTTGCAAATAGAGTACTACAAACTTACATTTAGTACTTTGTGATTTGCACTTTTGCCAAAATTATTTCATTTGATCCTTTCAACAACTTTGTGAAGTTGGCAAGACAGGTATTGTTATACTACAGTTTATGGAGGTGGAAACTGAGTAAGTTGTAATTCACAGACCCAAGACTAGAGTTTTGCAGAGGTTTCCTTATAACACTTCTGCTCTTTTCCATTATACTGCAGTTGCCTTAGAGAAGACCAGTCCAAACAGCAAAAAATATAAAAGTAATTTTTTTTGACTTTGCAATTTGTTATGTGTTTAGGCTTTTTTTCATCCCCTAGCAAAATTGTAGAGTTGGGAGGGACCTCAGCTGGCATCCAGTCGAACCCATACCTGAAAGGAATTGTCGCCGTAACAAATGATCATGTTGCCTCTTCTTGAAATCCCCTACGGAGAAGGAAACTCTCACTTCCACAGGCAGCCCAGTCCACTTTTTTGGACATTTCTGATTGTTAGGAATATCCTTTCTAATTATTTTTTGACCTAAGCTAATGGTAGAATGGGTTTCTGTTACCTAAATGCACATTGTCAGGGCAGAGTGGCTCCAGATGTGTGCTGGGGGAAGGGAAAAACAGCCTGGGATGTAAGTTTTAATACAGATGATATAGATTTGGACATTTGGTAATTGACGCCTCATAGATCCTCATACTTGCCACTAGAATTGGTAGTTAAATTTTGTGATTAGAAGATTGGTGTGGCTGAAAGGATGCCGGGCACTTAGAGAAAAGGATGTTGCCACAGTGGCAGTCTAGACTAGACTAGAGGAGCGAGAATTGGTGAGAATTGGGTGAAGGAACAAGAGATGTTTAATAGAGCTCTTTGTAAGGAGATGTGAGAGCTGCTTCTGAGCATTTGAGGGGCTCTCATGGAAAAGGGTGGATCATCCTTGTTCTGCCTGGCTCCAGAGGCCAGAACTAGGAACAATTAGTGGAAGTTATAGAGAAGCCAATTTCAGCTTTGGGGTAAGGAAAAACTTCCTAAAAGTGAGATCCATCCAAAACTAGGGTGGCCTGCCTCAGAAGGTTTTTTTTGTTGGACATTTTGGAGAAGACACCGTCAACTACTTGGGGGGGTTGTTGGACTAGATGACCTTAGGTCCCTCCTCATTCTGGGAAGTTTCACTTGTAGTTGTAGATCATACTTCCTGTCTCTTAAGCTTGGGCATATGAAATTGAAATGGATGAAACCACAGGGACAGGCCTAGGGAATTCCAGTAGTAGAAATTGTCTCCCTTGTCTGATGAGATACCACGTTCTCCTCGGTAGGTCTCACACCCAGGTAGGTCACAGGAGTTATCCACAACAGTACATCACCCTGACTTTTATGTGTCAAAATCAAAGTTGTTGCTTTTGATGAAACTCCAGTAGTGATGCTAGACTACTGGGTCTTGAAAGTGAGGATAATAGCTATTAAAAATGTGACAGAAAGAGGGCTGTCCTCCAGTGGCAGAGGACTACAAGATGAGCATTCATTCATTTGGGTGACTTGCCTCTAGCTTGGAAGTGTTGAAGATGTTCAATTTGGTTGGGAGTCTGTCCACTGACAGTCACATGTCTTTATTTCTATCCCAGAGATGATGGCAAAGAAGCCCTCAAATTCTACACAGACCCTTCCTACTTCTTTGATCTTTGGAAGGAGAAGATGCTGCAGGACACCAAGGACATCATGAAAGAGAAGAGGAAACACAGGGTGAGGGGGAGGAAGGGGAGGCAGCTGTAGGGGAGTGATCGGGCCAGGTGCAGCTTTCACCAAGCACAATCCATTTGAAAGTACAAGTCATTCTAACGAGATTTGATTCAAGCGAACTCTTTAGAAATGGACTTTTCTCTTCACAGTGTTGTTTTTCCTGACTCTGCTAGACACAGAAGCCTGGGCTGGCCCATTCACCTTTCACTTTGGTAGCTTCTTTCTCCACGAACAGCACAAGGCCCCCAGTGTTGGTCTGCAGCAGGAGCAGCTTAACCCCTTTACTCCTGCGCTGCCTTGTCTCAAAGCTAGTTCTTGCCCCGACCTCCCTACTGCCCATTGTTTGTGAGCTATGTCCTCATGACGCCATTAGTGTGGCTGCTGGGATGCCTGGGCACAAGCCCCCTGGCAAGTGCAACAGGATTGGCTGGTTACATAGCCCCAGACAGCTGCTGCAAGCCTGCTCCTTGTCTCTTCCCATTGGCTCTGGTGGCACAGTTAATCATGAGAGACTCATTTTTATTTTTATTGTTATGACAACTCACATTTCTCTAGGACGTGGCACCTTCCTGTTTATAAAGTACCTTCTTCACAACGCTCCTGTGATGTAGAGAGTACAAGTATTAGTCCCATTTTACAGAGTTACGTGGCAGAGTTGGTAGAACCAGGTTTCTTGACTGGGTCCACTGCCTTTCCACAACATCATATCAAGCAAATGCCCTAACCTTTATAACATCAATATATTTTGTACATATGTATCTGTGTCCATATGCTGTTGTGTGTTGGGGAGTGTAGATGGGTAGGTAGCTAGCTGTCTATACACATGGATATAGGTCTGAGTCTCAGTGAGTGGCATCAGTACCTGGAGTCTTCTTAAGTCCTGGGCTTTTCCTTTGCTTTTGTCATTCCAGAAAGAGAAGAAGGATAATCCCAATAGAGGAAATGTCAATCCTAGGAAAATCAAAACCCGTAAGGAGGAATGGGAGAAACTGAAGATGGGACAGGAATTTGTGGAGTCCAAAGAAAAACTGGGACCTTCTGGGTGAGTAAGCCCCAAGACCTTGAGTGTTGGTGAAGTTTGGCTTGTAACTGTTGGGGAGTCAGGGTGACTCCAGCCCCACTTTGGGTGCCGGTGAGTGACAGAAGGGGCCTAGCTGAGAGCACGGACTTGTCACCTTTACTGCTGTGGTGGCCTTGCTGGGGAGAAGTCTACTGTTTATAGTGACACTGAGGGCATCTCAAGACCCCATAAAGTGGTCTCTGCAGTCCTTTGCTTCTGCTGGATCCATAATTCTGAGAGTGACTCATTCTGGCCCTGTCTTGCCTCAGTGCTGGGTCCTTGGTGAGGGAGTGGGCAGGGCTGCAGGCAGGCAGGGCAGGTGGAGAACATTGCCACCTAACACGAACTGGGCTTTGTCTGGATGGGGAGAGGGACCAGGGGGCTGAATGCTAACCCCTGAGACAGTGGAAGGAAGGTCAGAAGGTCAGACTGCCATGATTCACACTGCATGTCCCTTCTGCAAAAAGTTGGACAGTGGTCTGACCCATTCCTCAGGACCAAAT